TACTCCAATGAATGGTAGTCTCGTCATTATGGGAGATAGTTTGTTGTTGAGATTTTGTTACTCCAATGGATGGTAGTCTTGTCATTATGGGAGATAGTTCGCTGTTGAGATGTTTACTCTAATGAACGATAGTCTCGTCATTATGGGAGATAGTTTGTTTTTGAGATTGGTACTCCAATGAATGGTAGTCTCGTCATTATGGGAGATAGTTCGTTGTTGAGATTGGTACTCCAACGAATGGTAGTCTCATCATTATGGGAGATAGTTCGTTGTTGAGATTTTATTACTCCAATGGATGGTAGGCTCGTCATTATGGGAGATAATTCGTTGTTGAGATGTTTACTCTAATTAATGGTTATCTCGTCATTATGGGAGATAGTTCATTGTTGAGATTGGTACTCCAATGAATGGTAGTCTCGTGATTATGGGAAATAGTTTGTTGTTGAGATTGGTACTCCAATGAAGGTAGTCTCATAATTATGGGAGATAGTTTGTTGTTGATATTTTGTTACTCCAATGGATGTTAGTCTCGTCATTATGGGAGATAGTTTGTTGTTGAGATGTTTACTACAATGGATGGTAGTCTCGTCATTATGGGAGATAGTTCGTTGTTGAGATTGGTACTCCAATGAATGGTAGTCTCGTCATTATTGGAGATAGTTCGTTGTTGAGATTTACTTTGATCTAAAGAAGTTCATTTGTTTCCAGTCATAAGTACTAATGCTTATCATTGTTTACCTACCCTAATATTGGTATTTTGTGGTATTATCTTACCATTTCTTTTCCCTATGAGTCATCGTTACTTTTTTTTCTATCTTTTAGGTGTGTGGGTAGTTTGCAGTCATTTGTCGATCGTTATCATCCTTTATTTATTTCCTCATTTATTTGAGTTGATGATGCTTTATCTCCTCCTTGGGCTATACCCCAATAGAGTTGAGTCTTTTGTTCACTAGTGATTTATTTTCCTGGTCGAATTTTCTTTTAATCCTTTTATTTATTTGCTGATTCCCCAGTGGTGTCCTGTGTCACCTTAGGATTTGTTTGATTGCATGCGCAATCATAAGCATTGCATGGAATCTTAGGGCCAAAAATAGGGCTTGTTTTATATTCAAGTATCTTCAATCGCGTCGACATGAAGATTTTAACCTTTGTATCTCCCGATAGAAGACACTTAAATAAGGGTATCTATTGTACCATAATTTTTGCCCCTAATATTATTCTATCATCTCATATCAACTCAATCATATCAAGATCACACTAGGGTTTGGTTCTTTTTCTTATCTTTAGGTTTGCTCATGAGGGATCACCAAGCCCTTTGATTTGTATATTGTGATCCTATTTTTCTGGTGTTGATTAACTTTAACTAACAAATACAATGAATGTTTTCTCTAAATGATGATACTATAGGTGAGGGAACAAGACATTTCATTAGGTTGATTCATAGGGTCATGAGTTTATTTCCATGCCTTTTTCAACAAAGCTTCATTGAGATACAAGTTTCATCACTGAGAATGCTTTAAAGTAATATCATGACAAGGTCTACTATAATTCATCATGCTTCAATTTTTCAAGAGAAGTCAAAAGATACAAGAATTGATTGAAGAAGTTTGACTTAATTGGACAAGTTCTTGATTCCTTGATCACAAGTGCATAACTCTCTCAATTATTAATATTTGGAAGTGGTTATATTTTCTATAGATTCTTATTATCATCAAAAACAACTTCTATTCACATGGAAAAAGTGATTGTGCATGAAAGATTGTCAAAATTGAAATAGGCTTCCAAGTCATTTTGGTGCTTTAGGAGCTAGGGTTTTGAACTTCTAAAGGCTATATTTTGTTTATATTTTGAGATTTTTGAGTGATTCCAAAGATATGATTCTATTTAATTGGTTATCAACCAATCACTTCAAAGGTTTCAAGCAAATTTTGTGTGGAATATTCCTAATGATGGAGAAAGATTACAAGTCCTCTAGATAGACCATCAAAATCTCTTATGTGATTTCAAAAGATCATAACTTGGTCAATTTTTATCTCCTTGAGCCAATTCTTTTTCCATATTGATCTTAAGGATGTGAAATTCAACTCTTCGTTTATGTTCAAGACTTTAAAATGGTTGGAATATGCCTTAAGAACTCAAAAGATTATAGGTCACCTCATGGATTTTCACCAAATTCACAAGGCCATAACTTCTTCAATTCTTAGTATTTTTTAGTGATTCAAGTTTCACAATGCTCTTTAGGAAGTCCACTTCAATCTAGAATCAATGATCAAAGCAAGATTTTTGAGGAAGGCCTTGTTTAGAATCAAAACATTATAGGATATTTTTTGAGAAAAACTTGGAATATTTCTAAGTACAAAAAGTCAACATCTTTTTCTCAACTTTGACTCAACACAACTTGTAGCTCAAGCATCCAATTGATCTCTCTCTTTTCACATTGTAAATATTGTGACCTTATATTTCAAATGCTTCAAGAATTATTCCCTAAGATCTCTTGACCTGTGAACACCATGTATTCAAAGTTGGTACCTTGAAACTGAAGTTTTCTCCAAAGTCAGAATTTGAAATCCATAATGTGGTTTCTAAACACCAAATTAGCGCATGTTTTTGATCTAAACATGTTTAACCAACTTTCCAAAGTGGATTAGATCCTTGAAACATAAAGTTTGAGTGAGTTTTGATGCTAAGCTAGTCACATGTTTCTCATGTGCACAACCTCTCACCATTTCCCTCCAAACTCCACTAATTCTTCAAATTCTTATTCTAATTCACTACCCTATAAATAGATGACCACATTGAACTCATTTACACAAGCTTCGAGAGCCAAATACACCCTTCCAAAGTTCATTTGCAACTCAAAAAGTTGAAATTCCATTTCACAGTTTCAAGCTCTCTCTTCATAATTTCTTTACATATTCATCATCCTCCATAAACATACAAACTCTCCAACACTTAAACCAAGCAAATCGAGCCATATTCTGAGTTTCAGAAGTTCACTTTCAGAGATCTTTTCATGAGCCTCATTCAAGTAGTTTTCTGAACCAAATAGTTCCAAATAAAATCCTATTCTACTTTACTCATCCTTTTGATCCTTGTGCTTCTTACAATTTTTAAAATCATTAAGAATTGAGTGAGAAATCTCAACCTAAAGTGCTCGCTATTATTTTTGTTTTTTGCACTTTTCTCTTTGCTCAGCTTATATAAATTGTTCGCAAGAGTGAGGTTAGGATCGTCTTAAAGAGATGAATCTAATGATATTAGTATGAGGTTCTAACATTTTCGTTTGAAGAATTTCAGAAAATCCCACACGCAGGGTGTCTGGAGGTTGAAGACGACCTACGTGTCGTTCTTCAACCAATGAACGTGTGACATTTGTTTTATTTTCATTGGTTGTTTGTTTTTTGATTCAACGTGTTTTGGATGAGGGTCCATGATATGCACAGTGCGCCAGGTCCTTTGGATCTGTTTACTAACGCGTTTTGACTTTCATCCAATGAACCATGTTTTTTCTTTTTATTTTATTAAAATCAGATTTAAAATTTAATTTGGTATGATTTCTAATAGTGACCATATCATGCACAGCGTGTCAGATCTCTTGGATCTTCTTACTAACACATTTTGACAATGATCCAGTGGTCCACAATTTTTTGGCTTTATTTATATTTTATGATTTTTATATTTATTTGTTTTAAACTTCAAAAATCCATAAAAAATTCATTTCTGGTCCAAAAATTATGAAAAAATTCACAAAAATATTTTAGAATATTATCTTTTTGATTTTTATTTTTTCATAATTTTATTTTCAGATTTGATATTTTTTTATGATTTTTCACTTTCTTTTGATTGTTTTAATTGTTTAAAATTATTTTATGATTGTTAAAAATTCTAAAAAAGTTATGGAAAGGTCCTTTGGTCTTTTGGAAATTTTTGATGACTTTGTTTTATTTTTATTTATGATTTTACTATGTTTTTACCATATTTTGGTTTGTTTTACTTATTTCTTTTATTTCTAAAAATTGTTTCCGACTTTAAAAAATTTTGAAATTTTTTGTCAACTATTATTATTGAATCATGTTTGACTTCTGACTATTTTTTAGGATTTTTATTTGGTATTTTAATATACTTTGTGTATTTTACAATTTATTTTCCTTTTTATTAACCATTTAAATATTTTTTTATTAGATATTATTTTATTATTTTTTATTTGGTTCTGACTTGGACTTCATTCGGTGACAAATTCCTCAACCTCATTGGATCTTGGGTGTTGATAGGTTGAGAAACCAAATCCACCAAAGTGGATGAATGGTGTTGATGATATTTGAAACCCTAATATCATACAATGCATCCCCCACTACAACATTTAGGCTCTCCAGCAACAATTGAAAAACATTGCCAGAACTCTGAAAATCGTTTCCTAAAACAATAGGGGATGTTTTCTAGGCGTCTCCTGTGCGAGCGTTGCCTATTGTTTGAGGCGACGTTTTTTTATGTTTTTTGGGAACGCTTTTGAAAAACGTCGCCTATAGTAAAGGAATAGGGGACGATTATTTACGGCCTCTGAGACAATGTTTTTTAAGCGTTGCGTTGCCAAATTCGGCTACAATTAACAATCGTTGCCTTAAACCTGAATCAGGAAGATCGTTTTTGAAGTGTAGCCATAGCTTATAGGTTGTTGTTTCATAGTGTCCACATAAAATATACAATTTTGCAATTATTATCAAAATAATATAGTCAATAATAATTGGCTTCAAAAATAATATTGATTATATAACTTAAACCATACATCCATAAAAGTTGTAATATAATAAAATCGAGTTCAAACTTTAATTCAAGATATAGTATATAGAATACACAAAATGCCTAACGTAACAATATTACTTTTAATACTTTGAAGTATGACCCTAGTAAAATAACTAAAAACATAGTTCAACAAAAGAACAAAAATCATATTTCAAGTTTAATGCTTTCAACTACAAGCCAAAAAAAAGACATCATCCAACTCATTCAAGTCTGTCTTCTAGGAGTAAAGCATCCAGATCGTCCTCTTGAAATTCGTTAGATATGTCATCCTCCATAAATTCTTCGTCTACGTCGTCCTCTTGAAATTCACCATCTATATCCTCCTCTTGAAATTCATTATCTAGATCTATGTCATCCTCTTGAAATTCGTCATCTACGTCGTCCTCTTGAATTTTATCATTTAGGTCGTCCTCTTGAATTTTATCATTTATGTCGTCCTCTTGAATTTCATCATTTATATCGTCCTTTTCAACATCTTCATTGATACATTGCTGCATAAGAAAATAAAATAAAACACATTAACCATAAGTATTTTTGGTCCAAAGGACAATTAAGACATCAACAAGAATTAAACCTCGCACAAATAAAAACTAAACCAATGAGCAAAACACATTGTTTATATTCTTCACATCTCATGGATGTGAATTAATTATGAAGGTTTTTAATGGATGTGAATTTTCATTCTAAACTGTAATAAGTGACATGAGCTTACTAGCAAATAAATCAATTATGAAAACCATTCTGTTTTTGGCTCACTATTCAGGACTTACAATAGCCTTTAAATGTATGTATGTATGTATGTATGTATGTATAACTTGTGCTATCCTTTTATGTTTATTTTTTGGAGTAAATGAACTCTGATGAACACTCTTACTTGTTGTATCTTCTTTGGTGTTCAGTATCATATGGATAAATTTACAGCATACATAGTGAGTGTTATCAAATAAGGGGGTCCCATAATCTTATCCCAGGCAAGTATGTTTGTGAAATATCAATGAAATCTCGCACAAATAAAACAGTTTCAGCCACTTCTAGGTGTTGTCACTACTTAAACAATTTCAACCACTTACTTTATTCTAGGTGTTGTCACTACTTGCAAATTTTTGCATACATTAACAACCATTTTGATACTATAACATAATTAGAAAAATATAAATCAATAATATTGGTATATATGGTTACCTTTCCATGACATGGAGCATGAGTTGATGTAGATGAATGCATTTGCGGTCTTATATCCTTTGGGGAACTATTAGCATCTCCATGAGATAATCCTAACAAATCTTCAATTGACTCTATATTAATTTGAGGATTGCATTTTTGTATTACGGTCTTAAAAGTATTTTGCAATCTATCAATCTTATCTTGAAACTCGTCCCTTAATGTAGAGACCTCTTCACTGTGGGCTTGTTTCAAAGCATTAATCTCTGCCTTTCTCTTTAAGGAAGTTTTAGTTATGTTTCTCCCATAACAGCGTACCCTGCCTGGACACTCCTTTCCAAAAAAAACTTTAAAAGATTTTGTATCACTTTACTCCTTTTCAACCATTTCTTAAAGTTGGGACTAGCATAAATTACAAAAAAAAAATATTAGCTACTATTATAGACAATGTTGGCCGATTATATTAAGCAAACGTATTATATAAACAATGTTACATACAATTACTTTTCCAGTTTCTACATCCAGTTCCTTTCCTTTATTTCCTTTTCGAGTTTCAACAAAAGTTTCTGATTGAGTGGGCTCTCTTTTTTCCTTTTCACGCTGCACAAATCAAAATAATTCCATAACAAATTATGTGAATTAAAATTTCTATTCACGAGTCAAAGAAAAGTTTTTCACGAATACTTTAATTGAACAAAGAAACATTCATACAAGGAATAATTTATGGAGAACAAAAGAAAGTTACCACTTTTTCACGAGTCAAAGCAAAGTTTTTGGGACCCATTCGATGCATCCACTTTAGTTGAGCTCTATTTCTAGTGTTATTTTCACTGATTGCCTACATTTAAATTTGACAGAATTATTATAATAAATATTACTTAATTATGGAATACATAGAAAGGTGTAAATTCACACACATACATAAAAAAGTTATTAATCTTACTTGTATAGTTTCCTTACTCCAATAAGCACAAAGACTCTTAAACTGGGCTATTGGCACGTTTGGCGGACGATTTTTGAGTCTCTCGGTCATGTTGGAATACTTCAAAAAATGATTCTTCTTAATTTTGTGCTTATATCTTCTCCATGCCTCTCTAACAGTGGTCTCAATCCAATCTCGTGCTTCAACCGGCAAGATAAAATTCCGCTACATAAATTATAAGATAAGACAAGATCAAGAAATGAAACACTTTTTTTTAATAATTAGACTTTCAAATTCATAGATAAAAACATACATTAGTATATCTCCAGAAACGGTTTTTATTATCATCTGGCATTCCTGACCAATTGGTGTAACGTAGAGGACAAAATGTTGAGTTCCTAGCCAATGTTCCCAAGAAGAGGCTCAAGTCAGATACTACTTTTTCACTAGGACCAATTGGCTGAAAATCCTCATTAAAGGTCACTTCTACTCGCTCTTCCAAAGTTCTTGCATGAATCTTTTTGCACAAAGTTTTCCCACGAGTTTTTCTTTGGGATGTTTCTATAAAGTAATAACACAACAACATGATATCACATGTTTGCTACCAATATGTAAATAATACATGAAATCATTATTATGAAATATGAAACTAATTACATTTTTCTTCTTCTCTATTTGTGATTGCATCTTCTTCGTTGACTTTTGCCCGATTTTGAACACTTTCTTGTCGAGTTCCTTTTTTTGATTGATTTTGATTAGAGCTACGGTTAACGCTGCTGCCCGGTTTTTCACCATTGTTTGACTTGGTTGCATCCATTTCCTTTGACTTGTGAAGATCTACATAATCATCAATCAACATTGATGGGAATTTTGGCACCCTGTTTAGCTTTTGAGAGCATTCAACTTTTGACATCATTGTGTCCAAAGATAGAGTAGATTTCTCTGGTTTCTTATTTTTGGAAGAAATAAGTATTCTCCTTGCAACTGGTTTTTCCACCTTTTGAATTTTATCTCTATTGTTCTCTAGTAGATTCTCATGAATTCTTTTTTTCAGCATTCCTGGTTTCAATATAATTTTCTCGTCATAATAATGTCATGAAAAGAAATATATAAATTTAAAGTATATGCAGGGATATTAACTACCTTGTGAAACTTCTTTGTTTCCATGTGCAAGAACTTCCTTAGCTTGTGGTTGCAAAAGCTTAGGTCTCTCTGCTTTCTTCATAGCAATGTGGTTGTCTAATTTTCCATCAACCTTTTGAATTCTTTCTCTATTCACTGTAGCTTTCACTTGAGTTCTTTTCTTTGGTGTTTCTAATTTTAGTAAAAATTCACCAAAAGATATTAGGAATAATTTCATGTAATATATGCATAATAGAAAATTTTAAAAATCACTTACCTTGTACAACTTCTTTGTCACCATGTGCATGATCTTTCATTACTTTTGGTTGCGAGAGTTTGTCTATCTCCATTTTCTTTGCAATAGTCTCTTTGTCCAAATTGTGATCAACCTTTTGAACTCTTTCTTGTTGAGTTCCTTTTTTTGGTGTTTCTAATTTTTGTAAAAATTCATTAAAAAACAATAGGAATAATATATCTAAAGGAATTCCAAAACATAACTTTAACATACATCATTTTATATAAAATCAAATGAAACAAGAAAATGATTTACCGTCCACAACTTCTATAATTTGCTGAACCCTTTCTCTATTGTTTGGCATCAAAGTCTTTCCATGCTTGGGCATCAGCTGGATGCCTTAACTTCCCATCCCTTGAACGATGGTCTGCGTGCCACCTCAATGTATCAGCTGTCTTTGAACACATAAAAAGTCTTTTCAATCTTGGAATCAATAGAAAATGTCTTAGAACTTTGGCGGGAACCTTATGAGCTTTTATAGATTCTTTAAGATCATTAGCAACTTCAGGATATTCAATCCACCTTGACGTGCCACAAATATGACATGAATCATCTTTCTCGTGATCTTTCCAAAACAACATGCAGTTGTTCGGACATGCGTCAATCTTTTTATAGTCTAAGCCCAAATCTTTTATCATAGATTTTGTTTTATTGAAAGAGACAGGGATGTTCAAATCTGGCATAGCCTCTTTTAACAACTCTACGAGAGCAGTGAATGATGCATTACTCCATCCATGGAGACATTTCAACAAATAAATTCGAATAGTGAATGATAACGAGGAAAACTTTTCACAACCAGGATACAACTCTTGATTTGCATCATTAACTAGTTTATAAAATTTCTTTGCATCTTCATTTATCCCTTCATGTACTCCACCTCCTTCAGCCACATCTTTAAATGTCTCAAATAGTAAGCCATCGATATCATCATGAGATGATGTTTCATCATCACTATCACCATCAAGATCTATAAGACTCTCATCTTCACCATGATAAATCCATTCAGTGTATCCCTTTACAAATCCTTTACTACATAAATGGTCATACACTACATCTCTTACTTCCCAACTATCATTGCAACATACAGAACAAGGACACAAAATCTCTTCTTCTTTAACCATTCCTTTGGTGAATGCAATATCCAAAAAGTAATTTACACCGTCCTTATAACTTTGACTGTGTGGAGGTAACTCCACCCAATCCTTCTTTATCATGTTTGGTTTTCTAAAATGAAATAAATTATACATTACTCTTTATCATATAAAGGATGGAAAAACACCATGGTTCATATATCAACGTAGCTTTTACAAATGCATAGTTATTATAAAAATTTCATTTATAATCTAAATATACACTAAACATGCATTCCAATACCAAACATAGAATAAATTGGTGAACTTTTAATCTAAACATGCACAAACATTTCATAGTCTAATATAATATGTATTTGTTGTTTCTTTTCAAACTATATAATATGTATCTGTTACCTGAATTCTTTCAACTTGATTCCAGCAGTAATAGAAACTAAAATCTTGTCCTTAGTTACAAGCGACTTCAATTTCAACACAACTTCCTTCACTGCAACAACAACAAAAAAGCTAGTAAATGAAACGGAAAAACCAAGAAAGCGCGCTAAGCGCAGTCTGTGAAACCAGAAAAACCAAAATATTATCAGTTCTGTCATGGAGTCCCAAATCCCTAACTCTACACTTCAATCCAATTACTCACAACATATAGATATGAAATACAATACATTTACATGTTATTATTCAATTAGAAGCAACATGTAATAAGTATCTCAAAAACTTTCAATGGTATGGTGGAAAATTTATATTTCTTATGGTTATATTTTTGTTCTGTTGAATAGTTTCAAATCTTTAAAATCAAACATTGATAACACAGTAATAATAGGTGTATGTTATGATAGCATAGTAATAGTAAGTGTATATTTTACGTGATGTTGTTAGCAAGACATACCTATGTTTCAAATGAGAATAAGCTATAGCAAACACGTGCATATACATCATGGTCATCACTAGTTAGGACCAAATGAAACATATATGCTACACATACACACACGTAGTAGTAACTGTAATAGTGTACTAGTGGAAATGAGAATAAGCTATAGCAAACACATGCATATACATAATCCATATATTACTGTAATGCACCATACACTCTACATCAAATATTACTACAATGTTCATGCAAACATTATTCATACTCATGCCAAAAAGCATGAATCGGTGGACATCATACATCAAAGGTAAGTTAACCACGATGAAAAAAGATCCCAGTTTTTTTACTGAGCTAATTGAACACATTGAGAACAACACAACTAGTGATCGTTGATGGATCCGCAAGTAAGCCGTCAGAAAGTTGTTGTCATTGTCGAAGCAGTGATGATAGAAGTTGTTGTTGGCAGATCGGAGTAGATATAGAAGAGGTGTTACGGGGTTGTTTGTGGGTGGTGCTTGGCGGTTGCTCACTGTTAATGCAAGATGCATTATTTTGGGATGGGGATCACATGGTATTGAAGAGTTCTCTTGTGGCTAATAAACTTCATGCTACTACAATTGCCATATACATATTCAAATAACAAAATAAATTTACTACTCCTAAAAAACAATTTCATGTAATTAATTTCAATTCAAGAAAAGGTAGTACTACTAATTAATTTCCTCTCTGATCTTATCTTCCCTTGCCTTGGCTTCCCTTTCTACCAAAATAATATGAGCATGAATACAAGATTCTCAGGCCTGGGAATCAATTAGAATCTTGCTAAACTATTCATCAAAGTAGGATTTAATTAGCACTAGCAAACAATAAACCATCAAGCAATGAAGACAAATCAAATGATGTACCAACATGATCAAAAATAGACACTGACTTCTTCCTTTTTGACAAAACTTATTTCGGCTCTACACAATTACAAACTTATTAAACAAAATTTGCAGACTAAGAGGTAAAACTTGACCTGTAATGCCACTAATATGCATATCAAAATAATTTTCCAAGTCCATAGCATAGTGAATTACTTATCAATATAGTTATACTACAGTAGGTTATTAACATAATGATGTGATGAATGCCTATAAATATTGTAACTTAGTGGTTTGACAATTTGCTTTGAAAGACTCAATTATCCATGTACTATTTTTTTATCTTCATTTCACATAGATTCAACTAACAAAATAGACTTTTTTGAAACTATAACACTGGTACTTTCATAAAATGTGTTTGAACAACTTGTTCATGCATTAAAACTACTCTAAGACTATTTCAACAAACTTGTCCATGCCTGATGCGTATTCATCCCGACCTACTTCTGCAATACTTTTGTATTTTGATCTAAAACAATACTACCAAAATTTAGAAGCCAGCACATAACTCATCACCTCTCAAGCTACATGTCGTGCAACTAAATACTTCACCAGCTAAGAAAAATTATCATTGATCTATAAAATACTCAGAATATCTTCCTTAAATATAATCAAATAGAAACTCTCAATTTCTTGTGTTTCTCGCACCTTCAAATAACTCAAGACAATTGTTTTGGATTGATAGTTGATTAGATCAACTCCACTACAAATATTTGCAATACTAACTGAGCATTAACTACACCTAGAAAGTGCAACACCAATTTACAGCACGCGCTCTAAAGAACCTCAAATGCTGCCGAAATCTAATCAGGATCTACAAAGTTTTCTCTACCTAATACCAAGAAACAACAGCATCGATGACACCTCCAGGTATCAACCTTGAAATCTGATCGCAATAGCAAGCAAGACAATGAATAATCCCTACGTATCTATGCACCTCTGCAGCAGAACAAAAAATCCAGCACGAAACAATACTCAGAACGAATGGTTTAGACTACCAACAGGTACATCACAACTGCATTCTGCTTCATAACTTGTTCTCATTATCACTGCTGATTATATCCTCGATTTTATCGTGTTAACCACCATGCAAACCAAGGCATGCCCCCAGAGTTTGAACACCAGAGATGATATATAGCATGTGCCTTTACTTTTGATACTGAACCACTTACAGGATGATATCTTCACTTCTTCAAACATATTGTCCAATCATAATTCGATATTATGAAGTATCTTTTCATTTTTTATGTCGAACATAATTTATTTAAATACACATGCTTAATGCAAATTTTAGCGTCTCTTTCATATAATATGATAAGTATATTTCATTTTTGTGTAGTGAGTTCCAGTGTCTATCATGGACTAACATTACCAGAGGCCATCACTAGCTGCCCACTAGTCAGCCCTTGGGAAGGACACACCTATAATTGTCTGAGTTCAATAAAATAAATCTGTACAATAATTGTAAAAGCTAAAAACCAAAGATTTACAACCAAGTTTAGATCCATTGCTCAAAAAAAAAATACTTACAGCTACCAAATCTACATCCATTAAATTGTTCTATCACAATATAAATATAATAAAGAATAACAAAATGTAACTAATACGTTACAGTATGAATAAAATTGCATTGGTCATAGCATGCCACTAAGTGGTTACATTTCAATTGTATCTCTATTTGTTATGTGTATCATGTTGAGAAAATTATTGGTGTTTTTGAATCTTATACATATGGCATCAAAATATACGAAATGGAGATCGAAATATAAATGCAGAAATACATACAAACACAGCGGACGACTTGGACGACGTGGACGGCGGACGATATGGACGGCGGACGACGTGGACGAAAGCAGTTGGACGACGAACGACGAACGGACGACGACGTGGATGACGAACACGGCGTGGCAGTTGGACGGAGTGACGAAGAACACGGCGGAGGGTGTGAACGAAAGAGGTTTGACTCGGAGCGGATGAAGGACGGAGCGTCTGAGAGCACGGCTAGGTTCAGTGAAATGTGTGAACGAAAAAGAAGTTGGAGAGCGCTGCTGCTTTTGTTTTCCTTATCTGTTTCTTTTTCTTTTTTATTTTATTTTCTATTCTTTTTAATATTCCTTATCTGTTTCTTTTTTTTTTCTATTCTTTTTTGTTTTCCTTACTGTTTCTTTTTCTTTTTTTTATTTTCTATTCTTTTTAATATTCTTTATCTATTTCTTTTTCTTTTTTTTAGTTTCTATTCTTTTTAATAAGACGTGGCAATAATTGAGAGGACTAGTAATAAAAAATATTTTAAATTCATGTGTTAGAAAATTTTTTATTTTCTGTTTAATGAAATTTTTTTTAATATATATATATAATATATATATATATATATATATATATATATATATATATATATATATATATATATATATATATATATATATATATATATATATATATATATATATATATATATATATATATATATATATATATATATATATATATATATATATATATATATATATATATATATATATATATATATATATACATACATATATATATATATATATATATATATATATATATATATATATATATATATATATATATATATATATATATATATATATATATATATATATATATATATATATATATAAATATATATATATATATATATATATATATATATATATATATATATATATATATATATATATATATATATATATATATAATTTTTTATTTTCTGTTTAATTGAAATTTTTTATTTTTAAATTCCTGTGTTAGAAAAATATTTTTTTTATATATATTAATAATGTTTAGAGAAAATATTTTTTTTTTAGTGTATAAGTTTTGGAGGGAAGATTGCCACCAAAAATTTGATAATTCTAAAAAAATTTATACAACATTTCATAAATGTAGCCTTTTATTAGAATTAATGTAACAATCTAAAAATGTCCCCAAAAATATTTTAGGGGACAATTGTCAAATATTGCTAAAGAAATAATATTCTAACGCTCTAAAATCGTCCCCAAAAGCAGTTAAGGGCACAATTAACAATCGTTGGCAAAAAAATAAAAGAGTATCGCTCCATAAACGTCCCCAAAAGTATTTTAGGCGACGATTATCAAGGGTTGCAAACATATTTTTGACAACAATCGTAAATCGTTGCCTATATGAATTTAAGGCAACAATTTCTACATGTTACCTAAAAAAGTGTTGCCAGAGACAACAAATGTTGTAGTGCCCCCACTCTTCATCTTATCCCTTTCTTACTTGTACTACATGTTGTTAGAGGATAATCTACATATCATTTCTCCAAACATATGGTACATAGATTG